TTCCAGTTTTTAAGTTATTGTCAGAGCGCAGCTCTTTGCCTTGTGGGAAACACTGTAATGCACTAATATTTCTGCAGAATCTGAAAGACGATAGGAGTGGCTTAGTCGTCATGCCAGTGCTTTCAAAGACTTCTTTGTATAGAAGTGTTGGTCATAGCCAGAGACATCCAACTAGCATTTATTCTAAAGTTCCTCCAGATGCTGGAAATTGTATCAACCGGGACTATGTTAATATGTATTTTTATAACATTAATGGCTGCATCAACGATCTTCAGTGATTACATAAAAAGGCATGCTTGTGCCTCAGATGTTAGTTTTGAAATTGTCAGCCTATTCATGATTGCTAAAAAGCTGCATTAATTAATAGAAAAATGTTGAATCTTTAAAAGATCCTCATGTCTACATGGAAATAATAAATAATAAAAAAATGTAACAGGGTTTTAAATGAATGGGTGTTGCTGGCCCTACTGCTATTAAATGTTAGTTCATGTGTGTCCCTGCAGCTGCAGTTGAGACCAGGAAAATACCCAAGTTCTCTTTGCCAAATAAATCACATTCTTTGGCAAAATAGTTCTCATCAAAGAGAAGAAAACCTTTTGAATACACATAGATCTAAGCTCCCCAGCGCTTTGGTCAAACAAACTGCTTTATGGATACATTATTTTGTTCCAGGGTTATTTCTTTGTTAATTTAAGATGAGATTGTGTTTCTAGACTAATATCCAGATGGATAACCATCATCTAATCAAAAGATATTTTTGGTGCTTTAAGTTAGAAGGCACTGAGCTTTTTAAGTTATGCCAAAGCTTTAGCAATATAGAGGAAAACTGGATAACCTAATGAGTAAATAATTGGTATTGTTAAAAGTAGGCCTACTTAAGGGCTCAGATTAACTTGTCTGACTTAATTCTGATTCATATTTCCATTTTCCTTTAAGGTTGGATCGCTCTGATTTAAACAATTTAGACTCTAACACATAAAGTACCTTAAAAGATGTTTACAGACTTTGAACCTATTCAATAACATATTTTTTGTATTTTGTCAAAAACATTTTATATACCAGCACAAATCATGTTTTTGGGGATGTATTAACACATCTTGTTCAAATGTGTTGCTAACTGCCACATTGCTTAAGCTCAGTTTAAGGGGTTAGAGGAGGCTTGTGAAAATGTAAATTTTGTCATCTAACTCAATGGGATACAGGTCTTGAATTTAACTTGTTCATTCTAACACATACATATAATTCAATCTAAATCATTCCAACATAGGTCAGGTTGTAAGTTTTGGATTGTTGTCCAGATGGAAGGAAAAAGTCTCCTCCATCCTAAAAGCTTTAACAACGTCTGACAGGTTTTCTTTCATGGTGGTCCTGTATTTAGCTCTACATGTTCTGTCCCGGGTAAAGAAAAGCTTGTTTTCAGCAAGATACAGCTATTTCCATCTTTAACTTTGGTGAAGGCTTGTTTAGGGCGATGCGCGGATGAATGTTTTACATGGAAACCACAAAGTTTATTTTTAGTGAACATGCTGTGTCCCCATCCTGACTCGAAATATCTATCTTTTAGCTTTCTCCTTAACAATTTTCTATATAGACCAGATTTGTTTGATGTTCAACTAGTATCTGTCCTGTGAACAGATTCCCCCACCCAACACTAATTTCTTCAAAATGAAGGGTCCTACTTATTCTTTATCTACATAATGGGTTGTGTACTGCCATGTGCAATGTTCAAAGCTTAGGATTTTGGTTTGTAACCTAATTATCCCTTTAAAGCCAAGTGTATCATATGTGATCCATTTTTTTGTGATCTCTGCATCATTAGTGTGATATTTGAATTTGATATACATTTTCAGTCTATAATTTCATCGTTAGGTTTCTGGCTTTAAAGGGATAAGTCACAGTCTAAGTCTTTATGTTTCTCTTCTTTTGCCTTTAAAATCTTAGTTAATTCTTGTGTTTGGTTATTTCTGTGTTGGTTTGGATTCTTATTTAGGGGTTAGATTTTGATATAGGCTTAAAGTTCAGTCTAAGCAACTGGAAGTGAAGTTTTCTAATAGACGTTTTACCTCTCATCCAGTTCTAACTAGTGGTGGGAAGCACTGAGACTAATATCAGCAATTATAAATCTTGGTGCTCCCCACCACTAGTTAGAACTGAAAGAGCCTTTTGTGTGAAAGGTGAAATGTCTTCTAGAAACATCAAGTTGCCAAAACTGAACTTTTCAAGCTTGACCATGACCTGGATGACTGAGAATCTTCGCAGATATCTTTGATTTAGTGAATCCTTGGAGTCCTATGTAGATGATCCCTTCAATCACAATTATGTTAATCAGTTCTCTTTTAGTTCAGGTCTTAGCACAGTTGCATTTTTTCTCTTCATTGAACTAACCTGGTTGTCATTTCACTGATCACCTCTTTGCAGATATATTTACAATGCATGGTGAGCAGGACACATGCACCGCTGCAGAATGTTTCTGCTTTCAGTTCATCCCTAAGTGCTGCTTAGCAGTTGAGACAACAGAAGGTAAAATTATGATGACCAACATCACTGAGCATAGTGCCAGAAAATCTAACCTGAACCCCTCAGTTTGTGTTTGTATTTGAAGAGCACAACATGCTAGCAGACTGTTTCTCTTGTGGTGAGTATCGTTAGCTTATATAACAGACAGGATTTCTATTGGATAGACATTTACACCAAAAATCTGATCATTGCAATAAAAACCTTCTCAGGGTCAAAAACATTAATCTCACTGCTGAAAGTTGTTCTTAACATGACTTTTAATTTATTCTTCAGAGAATTTAGAGACCTCTCTCACCGATCACCTTGGGATCCTCCGAAATGAGCTGAAAAGTGTTGCTGTAGAAAGAGGTGTTTAGGGTTCCAAGACTGGACCTGTCCAATATGACGATAAGGGCGAGTCATTGGATGAATGAATGGAATATGAAATGATTAATTAACCCCAAATGGATAGAATGAGTTTTCTCGAAAAGTCAATTTAATGAGCTGACCTCTCTAATGGCTCAAACTTTGGCATATAATGCAGAAATCTAGCTCATGTTTAATAGATTAGACTGCAATATTGTTATATGGATTGCATTAAATAACAGCTTAGTGTGAAAACTTTCAAATACCAGTACGAAGTAAATCATTACTTGCATGAAAAGCTGCAGTACAGTCCAAATTTGAAGTTTAGTTACACTGGCCATGAATGGGGTGATAACTGAGCTTTTAATGACACATTTGAACTGTTGTAACAACAAAAAATCTGATAGCTTTTATGATGGGCAATAGGACAGAAGGGTTCATGGTTTATCTGAAAATGGCGAAAGAGAAATCCACCAAACATTTCTGTGAGTTTATATAAATAAAGCTGCATATATAATTTTAAGATTATATGGATACGATTTAAACGTGTACACCTAATTACGGTTTTTACACATTGTTAAAATTGATTTTAACATAATCTCTACATTCTAAAAAACATCCAATGCTTCAAATGGATCACTAAAAAAGCCCAATGCATATAATTGCAATCAGTAGTCTAGTTGTTAAAAAAAAAAAATGAAGAGGGGTGGTGGAAATTATTTGTTTGTTTTATTTGGAAGAATACATAATCTAATTACTATAGTTTATTAACCTAAAGCAATATGCATGGTATGGTTGTTACATGTCAGGTACGCCGGTCATTGACCTTGACCAATGCACCTTACAGTAAAAATGCAGTCAGTCCCTGGACTGGCATGGCTATCACTGCCCCTACATAGAAAGGGACAAATGCAGAGGACAAATTTCCACTGGGATCAGCTTAGTCATGGTAGGCCACTTGTTTGATTTTATTTATTTTGCTCAGGCTACTTGTAAGCCCACAGTCCGCCAAATGTTGAGATTTTACCCATTCAGTAATAAAATGTCACAGGGGATATTATGGGGGGATGGTCATTTAAGAAGGGGGATGATGTTTAACATTTTTTTTTTTAAGAAGGCGGATGCCATCCCCCCCTCAACTCAAGTACTGACTGCAATGCATATGATAGGTGCTAGCAAACTTTTGACCATAACAGGTTCATTTATAGCACTTATATTGCAGGTTTGGGTCACCCTAATGGTTAATTGGAGGTTAGCTGGCCATGGCAGGCTCAAGCCATATGCAACCTCATTCTCCAGTTTTACTGTATTTTATTTTTAGGTATATGATTGTTATGGAAACACGTACTAAAAGTTACAGTCTTCTTTTTATTTTAGGGTAAGAGCATGAATGGGCATAGTACATTTTGTGTTTTGAAACTGATGGATGAGAGCAAAAACCATGCATCTTTGTGGGTTAAATGAAAGGAAGTTGCCAACTGTCTCTGGGCAGTTTAGGATCTTGTGGGAGAGGAGAAATGTGTTGTTTCCAGTCAGTAAGAGGGAAACTGATGATGCAGCATGCAGAGAGGGAATGGGAATGTGATCTGTTACATAACTTGACCAGTTTTCCAACGTTTGTGTTAGAGTTGAATCTGTGAGTTACCAAAATACAGTACAAGACTATAAAAAGGAGGAAATCTCAGATAGCAACGTTGCACATTTGTGCATAAAATCCACAGCCTAAATTTAAACTAATTCAAAGAAAATCACAAACGCAAACTCTCACAGGAGAACATCTGGAAGTTGTGGTAATCTTAAATTTTATGACATTGTAATAGTTTGTCAGTTCAAATATAAATGGACGGTAATGATCGAAGCAGCTGCATGCGCGTTCAGTCCAAATGCGTTCAAAAGAGTTGCTGTAAGAAACCCATCATGTAACTTGGCAGAAGGAAATATGTGTGGCCGCATGGACTTGTATGTGGATGCAACACAAGGGGGTGTTACTTCTTGCAAAGCGCATGCAAAAAAAAAAAAAAAACTCCCAGTGACTTCAGATCCAAGGAGGAGGTGATATTCATGGGAGCACGGTTCAAACTCTCACTTGGAGCGCAGCTTTAACAGCCTTTCAGCCGCTCTTCTCTCTGTGCCTCTTTTTTTTTTATAAATAAACCAAAGCAGATGGAATAATGTTTGCCTAGATTTTTTTTTTGCTCTCTCTGCATCGGAAGAGAATATTATATATAAATATATGTTTTTTTTCTACTTTAGATGCTTATTTTACAACCTGAATGAGTGTTACCTGGGCATTATGAAAAGTTATCCTGGTGTTTTTCACTGCTGGGAGAGGATGCTTGTTCTTTAAAAAAAATTGCAAAGATTTTATTGGTCCTGCATTAAAACTGTAACTCGATCTGCTTCTATTTTGCGCGCTTCTTTCAAAACTGGCTGAAATGGAGCGCACCGGATTAGCTGTTTTAATGATTTTCACTGTTGCGCTCATGCGAGTGAGCGATGGTGACCAAGAGGTAACAGGTGGGAGGACCGGAGCCAGCCAGGTGGTCCCAAACCAGCAGATCAATCAGAGGAACTCTTCCAAAGCACCCTTGGATCCTGGAACCAGTGAAGGGGAACATAGGAGCTCGTCCGCAGCTGAAGCCCTGGTCTCCACGCCGCACCACAGGGCGCAGCGCACCGCCAGACACCCACAGAGGAGCAGAGTGAACCGTAGGCAAAACAGCAAGCCCGGCTCTTCCAGCTCAAGGCGACTGGCTGGGTAAGAGTGACAGCTTTCTGTCAAACGTTGTGTTTTCACCTCATGCGTATTCATACGATCAGGAATTTGAGTGACCTATTTTTACGCAGACAGCATGAGTCCGTTTATTTTGCTGTGCTGCGGTTGTGGCCCATTTGTTTGAATCTTTCTAAATGTAAGAGAAACCAATATATGATGTAACAAAACCCACATCATTTTTGTTGTAATAGTATCATGTAGGCAAGTATTGTTCAAGATAATAAAACATTTTGTAGCTGCGAAATAGGTTTAAAACCCTTCAGTTTATTTTTGTGTGTGTAGTAAATACAAATTAAGCTTCAGTTAACAACCTTATCATAAAAAAAGTAAAATTGATTACAGTTTTCAATTTAGGGAAAGGCAAATACAAAATATCACATTATTAAAATGAATACACTGACATGGGAAGAGACTGTTGATTTGACAGCTGTCCAGCACATGGTGAAAATTGCTGTTCATAGGGAGTCATATTATATGAAAATTTAGTGGAAGGAAAAAGTATTGAAAAAAGTTTAAAACCATTGTCGGAAAACTTCCACCTTTACGAGGATTGTCAACAAAGCCTATTCATAGGGAAATAATTACAAGGTGTGGGCTGCTTCCAACCTTAAACAACATATCAGGATGTCGGCTAGAGCTGTCGCATCCCTTCAGATGCTCCAGGAGTCATTATCAGGAGTTTCTTACCTGGTTTAGGAAGAAAAGAGGCATACTGTTCTTTGTTTTTACATGTAAATATATTTTGCAAACCCCATAAAGAATCTATGTGACTTTGTGAGAAGGAAGATGAGAGATCAAAGCATTCGATTCACGGAAGCTGAAGTTAGCCATTAAAGCTACCTGGGCTTTCTTTAGATTTCAGCAGAACGACAGGCTTATAACTTTCATGCTCTAAGCATAACTACAGTATTTCATAAAATAGGAGTCCATACCAATTTGTGAGTGCATAAACTGTAAATCCTTAAAACATATGATTTTGTGTGCATAATATTAACAGGTCGATTTAAGGTTCAATGCTTTGCAGGAGGCTGGCTATATGTATTTAATGATAATACAGTTTATGGTATGTTCAGAAAGCTGTAAACGGTTTCTCATTCGGGTCAAAGCTCTATTCCTGCAGTGGCTCTGAAACATAATCCAGACAAAAGCTATGGACATGCTAATTACCTTCACAGCTTCCATCACTGCCCTCTGCAGGGCCTTCTTGTTTTATATATGAACTTGAGTTATGTCAATTTGTGCAAGAATGAGCAGCTGGTGTGAAGACGAAGGGACCATCTGTGTGAGGGATGTTTGGTTTGGGATTATCACACTGTCTCCACTACACCTTTCTGTATAATTACACAAATCACAGTAATACAGAGGCAGCACTTCTGTTCTCTGTGTGCCCCTGTTTCTGTGTTCTTGCTGTGACCATTTATTAGAGCGGCTCAGGCAGAGCTTTGGCTCATGAGCATTTGCAAATTCGCACCATGATCAGAAACACCTGTTTCTCCAGTGGCTCTTTTCTTTTTCGGTTTCTGTTTAACTCTAAAATGATGATGGGTTGTTTCCACAATGGAGCACTTTTCATTTTGTTAAATGAAGCCTTCTGTATCCTCTCTTGCATGTTCCACAGGGACATGGCTTGAACCCAGTTGGATGGTGAATATTTATATAATAATCAGAGAGGGATTATAATGGCTCACCTTAGGCTGCAGACAGTATATTATAAATGTGTCATAACGAGGCTGTTTTTGCTGAGGAAACTGATTATGTGATCAAGTTATCAGAGTTTCATTTTTAACAGCTAACAAATGGATTTAACTAATGGGAAGAGGATAAACATCATGCTTAGTTTCTTGCTAAACCTTGACAGATGCCAATAAAGCATAGACTCAGCCATGTGATTCTCATTCTTATTGAATATAGTTTTATGATATAAAACTTCAAATGGTGAAAGTAATGTTATTTTTTCTCCAGTCTTGTATGAAGACGGTCCACTTCCCATCCAGGAAGCTTTTTCAATTTAAAAAATAATTTTTGACTATGACCTGGATGACAGAGAATCTTCACCAGCATTCTTGTTATTATACATATGAATTGATTGGTTTCCAGACAGGATGATAACAAAAACTTACCTAAAAGATGCAAAAACTTGAATTTATTGTTTTATTTGATCTCATCTACACATTCCAAGGTCCTAATTAGAGCTACTATCCTGCAACTATGATGCGGCCCTTCTCCAGCACACCTAATCAAGCGGCTGAATTACCTCATTAAAACTTTAGCCCTTCAGCTCTGCAGAGAGCTGGCAACAAGCTAAATGTGGGATTTGGTTGTGCAGTAGCAGGGATGCAACTTAACATTGCAGGAGAGTAGCTATTGAGGACTGGCCAGAATGTTACAGGCATAAATACGGATATTACACACAAAAAATGCAATTGAACAAAAAGCTTTCTTTTGTTATCTGTTAGATTCTGCCTGGATTGCTAGCACATTTTTCTTTTGCATGATCTTTTTATATTCAGCCACATCAATGTTTATTGAGGAATGAGCCTCTTGCTCAACACTGCCTTAGCATTTGAATGGGATTTAATAGCTTATTTTTACTTGACCACTAAAAATCCTTAATTTGGTTGTTTTTAAGGTAATTAGAGGTGAAAAAACAAAGTGGAAGTCACGGTTATGAAATTATGGCAAGTCACATTTGCTGGTCCAGATTCTGTGGTTGCAAATCTTCCCCATGAACACCACTGTGTTGGAATTTTGGAATATTTGTTTGTTTTACGTCGGATGTATAAAGACAGACAAAAGATTCACTTTATTCTCCTCACTCCATAGAAAACTTTTTCAAAGCATCAAGGTGTTTGATTTTTTTCTTTTCTTTCTGCAAATCTTTTCACTAGAGTGGTTTTCAATAAGTACCTGTCCCATAGATCCAAAGTTACTCTCTTTGGTGGATGTTGTTCTTGCTTTTTGTATCCTCCTCAATGAGTCATTGATGAACTCTTGGAGTAATTCAGGTAGGTCAGCCACTCCTTGGGAGGTTCACTAGCTTTTTCTGTTGCACAGTGAAAACCATAAACAAAATTAGTGTTCTTTTCCAGACATATAGAGAGCGGTAACTTTGCGTCACATCATCTTTTGGATATATTTAGAGCAAAGCATTACATGTGGGCTTTTAGATAATTTTGTTTACTTTTTGTTGTTATGCAGTGGCGTCCTAGTGGTTAAGGCATAGCGCTTGGAATTCAGAGGTTCTTAGTTCGAGCCCCACTCCCATAGGCTGCCACACTTGGTCCCTGAGCAAAGACCCTTAACCCCACACTGCTCCCCAGGCGCTGCACAATAACAGCCAACTGCTCCGCAAGGGGATGGGTCAAATGCAAATAGTTCATTTTGTTGCTCTGTAGTGGGGGCACACTATTTTTTACACCAATAAGTCATTTTGAGTCTCTTTTTGAATAGAAAAATATATATCTATATTTTCACCGATGCTCAAAAAGAAAAACCTAAGCGTATTACTATAAACTCCATTCATTTTTATGAATCCATGTACATTTTATGCATGAAAGTACTGTCACCAGCCATCTATTTTCCATCCAACATGCCTAAACTCCTAATTATAGCATCCCCACTTATAATTGTCTATTTTTACCTTTATTCAAAGTAAGCAATTTCCTCATTATTATATGCAGCATGCTTTGCTGTAGCATTTGGGAAGCGCTTTGCTTGCTTCTCTACCTAAAAAAGCAGAGGATGAATGGGTTTCTTTTAGTCCTGGGGAACCATAAAAGAAGTGTTGCATAAATCTGGGGAACACTGCCTCATAGTAGTCTGCACGGTAAGTTTTATGGATCGTATTCAAGCGTTTTCAGATGAATCATCTGCTGCCAGTTAGCAAAAGTGAATGTGTGACACATTTCCTCTTGGAGTTCCCACTCCTGTTTACTGGATTCACTGTACTGGCATACCAGGTACATTTAACCCTTAATTACATCCAAGTTCACTCAGATGGACTTTTTATTCTGGATGCTCTTCACAGATTTCAGATTTATTCTGATAGCCTTTCACCAAAAATGAAAAAATAGAAGAATTAAAAAGGTGTAACTGCTCATATACATACTTTTCATGGGGCCTAGTAGTAATTTAGCATTAGCGTCTCTATTACATACAGAAATCCCTTGATGGAATTTGAATGTGATGACTGATATGTTTGGCACAGGCTTGGCCTGATGTGCTTGATTAATGACAAAGCTAAGCTTGCCAGAGGGCCCAAAAGGCTGCATGTTATCCCTATGACGCCTCAGGAACACTTGCAGCATCTAATAAGTGCAATCCATCTGAGGTCAATGAGTCAATCCCTGTTATCTTCTCAAATCACCATGAGTCAGACATCCACTTACTGTAATATCTTGTGAAAGGATGATGGGGCGCAGATCCATCCCAGCACGTTAACTGCTGCTCTGGAGTTGCCTTTGCGGTCTGGTGCCTTTTTAATCTGCCTTGCTACAAAAATTTGGCCTGGGTTACAGGTGCGGATTAGAGAGTGCAAAGAATCCAGTTCTGGCTGTTTAAAACTTGCCATCTCTCATTTGCTGAGTGATTTATAGAAAATGCGAAGTGTTTTTCATGTCCCGCGTGTCTCACATAATCCCCGCAAGGCTCAAATAACTCTGTTTGTGTTCACTTTGGATTTCCATCTAACAGAATGGGGACTTGTTGGTCCACAGTAAGACAGGGCTTTCTGAAAAATTATTAAAAAGAATTAGGTGCAGCTGATTCTCTGAGGTGTTTTTATCCACAGGCCAAGTCATACCAGAAGGATTAGAAATTACACCAGCTTTATACAGAGAGATTGTTTCGTTAGAGAGTTTTCTAATTCACACTTATCCATGAACTCTGTTGCCTCACAGTGAGAAGATGCAGTCTGTGGCCTGTCTGTCTGAAGATTGTATGTATTTTAGATTTCATGCATGTTCCGTTAATTGGAGTTTCTAAATTGCCCCTAGGAAAGAATTATATGCCTATATGTTTCTATTTGTATCAGCAACCAGTCTTTGATTGACTGTCTGTGGTGTCCTCCACTGTCGTTTATTTCAACTCTGGAGATGGGCTTCACTGCCCTGACCATCTTAAACAGGAACAACTTTGAATGCAAAGTAGATGGAAGAATTATTAAGAAAGTTTTTCTTGATAATTACCATCATAATCTCACTTAACTTTTTTCCATACATGTGTTTTTTAGCCCAAATGTCTGTGGAGGTCACCAGTGCTGCTCTGGTTGGGCAGTGGCTCCAGGAACCAACCGATGCATAAAACGTAAGTATTATTAACATTCTTGTATACTACATGCAAACTGTATATCTTTTAACCCTTTTTGTCTAGAAAATGCTGGTCTGCCATTTTGGCAGTAGTATAAACAATTCTAAAGTTTTTCAAACAAACCATAAAGTTTGAAACTCAGAAGTTTTACACCTTTTGTGGGGATCTTTGTAGATTTTTCCTCCTAAAACAACTATTTAAAGAGTAAACTGGGTATTTTTGTTCAGCCCACTAAGTTAGAACCACCTTTTGCTGCAACTGCCCCTCCAACCATTATTTCAGAGAATATGTTTTGGTCTGCACAGTGTGCAGTGGGTAACACTGCTGCCTTGCAGCAAGAAGGTTCCGGGATCTATTCTTAGACTTAGACAACTTTTATTGTCATTTTGTATACACAGAATGTATACAAAATGAATTTTCATTTTGTACAGCTTTCAGATAGTAAATTTGTACAAAAAGAAATTTCCCTGCATTCTTACTGCATGGAGTTTGCATGTTCTCCTTGTGCATACGTGGGTTCTCTCCAGGTACTCCAGCTTCCTCCCACAGTCCAAAACCATGACTGTTTGGTTAATTGGCTTCTCTAAATTCTCCTTAGGTGTGATTGTGTGCATGAATGGTTGTTTGTCCTGTGTGTCTCTGTGTTGCCCTGTGATACACTGGTGACCTGTTCAGGGTGTACGTCGCCTCTCGCCCACTGACAGGGATAAGCACGACAGAAAATAGATGAATGGATGTTTTGGTCAGTTCTTCAATGCCAAATCCTCTTTCTCTTCATTGTTAAATCCTCTACTAGCTCAGCCTGCCAGTTCAGATGTATAGTCTTTTGTTTTGTAGGGTTGCATTAGTGGATAGATCTAATTTTCATTCCCAGTCACAATTATTTTATTTTGTTCACATAAACTGCATCGAATCAGTGAATCAGTTTGTCCTTTAACGCATACAGTCATTAAAGATCATGCTGTCTGAATTTATGTGAATGAGTACACTAGGGTTGGTCACTGCATGTTATGTTTGCATTTTATGTTTATGGTCACCACAGTTTCCTGCAGACTCTAATTACAGATTGCAATCACATCTTTTTTTGTGGTAAAGGCTATTTTAAAATTTTACAAGTCAAAGGAAAACCCCTACACTGCAATGGACATCTCTGTGTATCAAGAGGGAATGTGTTTACTGTTTCTCTCTGCCTTTTTGGTAATGATTTCCTCTTCACACATGCAAACACTTTTCACACACACTTTCTCACTGGTCAATTACACAACAGGCTTGAGTTGCCCGGCAGTCTTTCTATCAGGTCTGCTTCCCTCCTGCTCGATCCACATATTGCACAATCCCGCTTGATTGTCATGCTGCACAGACTGTATGTTACATTCGACATAAATTCACATACCGAGAGAGAAACGTTAATGTTACAGAGCAGGAGAGTGCATTTTAGCAAGCCAGGGGTCCAAACCATCTGGCCCCCCTTAGAGCTTGGCCCTCACCAAAGTCTGTCTGGAGGCTATGTTATCCACTTCTGAAATAGGTCCACAGCTGGCAAGGTGCCACTGAATGGAATAGTGACTAGAATATCTGTCTTCTGTGGAGGAAAGCTTTATTCGGCTACTGCCTTAGACCCAGGATGCTTTTTAAGGAGATAGCAGTGTAAGACAAAATGTTCACAGTAGGGGAAAGAAAAGGAACAAATCTGTCTCTCATGAGACCCCCCCCCATTTTCAGTTATTTAAGAACTTCCTACTGAGGAGGATGATGTAATGTCTAACATCCAAAGTGTCAGCTGGAAGCTTTATAATGATACCTTCCTATCCACCTGGGTTTGGCTAAAAAAGAAAAATATAAAAGGAACTGGATTGTTATTTTCTACCCAGGAAGCCTGCTGTTGTTTCTATTGAAACACATTAAGCAAAGAAATACATCCGTCTGCGTGGGCTGATGCTGAAAATATTGTTGTTGAAACCTTGCCGCTGTCCATGTCCTGACAAGTTGAGAATAGATGATTACCAGCCCTGTATGTGTATAAAATTAAGTTCTGAAAATAGCCAGTGTTGCCAGTTACAATGAAGGTTTAATTTCCTTTGCTTTATTTAACTTTTCTGTCCTCTGGTTAAGTTACAGTCCTGATTAAAGATGAAAGTTTAAAAGTTTGAACATTGGCTCGAAAAAAAAAAAAAAATCAGCATTATTGCACATTAATTGAACGTTTTGGCTTGGTCTTAAGATTTTGTTTCTTAAATCACCTTTTTTCTGAGAACATCAATGAACCAACGTCATTATGAAAGCGTTGGGATACAGCAGACAGGTTAGGGAAATTTAGAGTTTGCATTTGAAGAAATATATTTAGCCCCAAACTTCTGTTAATTTACATCCTACATCTGAAAATGGAAAAAGTATATCATAACAGCAAACATACCAAGACACAATGGTCATCTCACACAGACCGACCAGACAAGGAGAGGATTAATTTATAAAGTAAAAAGCTCTGGGTAACTTTAGATGAGCTGCAGAGATCTACGGCTCAGATGGGAAACCATGTACAGGTATTGCTATTAGTCATACGCTCCACAGATCTGGGGTCTCATTTATAAAACATTGCCTGGAATCCATGCTAACATTGTACATACCTCAATGTCAGTGCCAGCATATATCACACTGCAGTTTCAAGTCTGATGTAGTTGATCTATGAAAAAATTTTCAAGTTAACTGAAATTCAGCGGGTGAGAGAAATGATGATGCAACCTGGCTCTGGTTCCCCACCCGTCAACATCCGTCTCACCAATTTTCTCCTCTCTCTAAAACATCGTACCAGTTTGCATTAGGGACAGCGCATTTTCAAGCCAAGTTTGTCTTTTAGAATAAAATAGAATAGAATATAACTTTTTTTGGTCTTATTTTGTGTGTATGCAAGCAGTTTTTTTGGAAGGGTGGCTGTAGATAAACCATTAACCGTCCTGTTTACGGTTTTTGGCTTGGGGCAAATGTGTAAGAAAATTGCTCTGGTCAAAACTGAACTTTAAGCCTTGATTTAAAAAAATAAATAAAAATAAAAATAAATAAAGATGAAGATAACTGTCCAAACCCTGTTGAATGGATGTTTTACTTCAGCAGTGGGAGGGAAGTTTGTCAAAGCTGTCAGA